ACGGGTTCTCGTTTTCGAATGTAAGAACATTAAAACTTTGGATTTTTGTGGACTTTCGAGCAAACATTTCGGTTCGGCCCTTACCTCCTTAGCAGAATATATGGGTCGTTTAAGATTGGTTCAAGATTATGAGGATGATGATGAAAAGGAGCCGACTTACTCATTCCAAAGTGTAAAGAATGTAGCATTACCAGACCTTCAACGTCTTTCTTTACACAATTGTTCAATCATCTCGGAATATTCCACCATACTTACCCTACTTGCACACGCACCAAATATCACTCACCTTGATTTGGGTGGTTGTTCCGTTAGTGAGATGACACTTAATTTCCTTGCAACTCAAACCAACGTTACAAAAAACTTAACCCATTTATTACTCGCCAGATGTAAACATATTTCTTCTGAGGCTATCGCTTCTTTGATAATTCAATGTGAAAATTTGAGAGTTCTCAACCTTTACGATATTGCCACCGCTATTAGCGAATATGATCTTATTACCATTTTAAGATCTCAAACCGCCAAAAGATTTCAATCTTTGGATCTTGGTTCGTCTTACGTCACATCACGTGTTTTACATGCCATACAGGAAAATTGCACCTCAGCTTTACAACACCTTGGAATCGCATTAGCTCAAATTCCGTTAACCATTCAATTAAATGAATTTCTAACGTCGATGCCAAGCATTCAGTACATTGATCTTACTGGTGTGAAGTGCTTGACACCAATAAGCATTAGAGGCCTTTTAGATAATTTACAAACGAATCATTCACTTCATACCGTTGAAATGAGCGAATCTTTAATCAAAAACCTTTGTGCCATCAAAGGATGGAAGATCAATGACAACTTTAGTAGAAGGTATTGTTACACAAAACTATCCCATGGAAGAAGGAAGAGTCCATTCGAGAAAATTGGATGTGGCTGAATCCGGTTTGGATAGAATGAGCAAAATTTTCAAATATTATAGTTTTGACGTTTGAATAAAAATCTTAATAATAATTAAATTCATGGAAGTAGACCGTGGAAAACCAAACCCAAAATTTACTCACTTCAATTAATTTTATTTCATTAAAACTCAAGAAAAGAAAAAATATTTGTAATAGGCACCATAATTGTCTATAATTAAAAAATTTAGCAAAAAAAAATATGACGCAGAAAATTATTTTAATTTAATTGTAGATTTGGATTTAAAGTGTATATTTTATTCTTTTTCACTCCCATTTTTTTTTTAAAACCTGGAACCTTTTAAATCTATTATTCTTAATTTTGTATTGTATTAAATAGTAAATTATATTATTAAAATAAAAAAATTATGGTGTAAAAAATAACATATGGTGTAAACGTTGGCATTTACGTATAATGGATCAAACGCAGGCTGAAATTTGTCGGCCATTATATGAAATTTTGAATTGTTGTTCAAAAATACCGACCATGTTAAGAGCGAAAAATTAAAATGCTGCGGCGGATGAGTTTTTTTTAAAATTTTTTTTTTTAAATATATCTTTTTAAAATTTCTTTGCTATAATGTAATTGCATATTTAACTGCATGTCAAGAAAAATACATGCAAATGAGATTTCCTGCCTGCATAACTATCTACGAAATTAACTTCTCATTTAATGAATAATTTTCTTATCAATATCCTCTGTGATTTCATAATTTAATAATCTCATACAATTTAAATACCATTTTTCAAAAAGGATAATTACATTTATTTAAATTTTATTTTATTTTTTTTTACGCGGAACTTTACTGATTGCCCTGACCCTTTTCAAAAAAAAAAAAAGATTTGTGTACAAAACTTACCTTGATACTTGATATTTATTTTTTTCGGGCGTTGTTCTTTTAAATAAAGATTTCTTAGATTTCTTAGATTTCTTAGATATAAAAAAATGATAAATTAACGGGTGGGATGATTTCTATATATGTAATGCAATTTGTTATTAAAAAAAAAAAAAAAAAGAACGAATAAAATATATACAAAAAATAAAAAAATAAATTATTCTCAACTTAGAAAGATTTTGAATCATAATACATTATTCGATTTCTTCACCTCTCAAGATTTTGGTTTGAAAAAGCATTCCCGCTTAA